TATCCCTCCACAACACTTGTTCACTTGGACGTTAATGCAAATTGTTGTTACTGATTGCTTGGCCTCTTTTTGGACTTGGGTGATTTTGTGATGAGGATGGTTGTAATCTTGGTAGCTTTCTATTGAATTGTTGTAGAATGGGTAATGCCCTTTTCTTTATTATTGTTGTCTTTTATCAATATAGTTTTATATTTTATATAAAAAAAGATATATAGCGATTGATACCTTACCATAAAAAGGTATTTGACAATACGTCCTCATTACTATCCTTTCACTCTCTCAATCACATGCTTGATATTACCATTTTAAGGTCTCTTCAATTTTTTTTATGAAGTTTCATCGATAAAAAAAGAGTTTATGCTTTCCTTTTTCCTAAATCAAAAGAAGACCCCCTCCCCTGTTAATATTTTGTTTTTGCTTTCTATCTACGCCAACTCTCTTTATGCTGAATGCAAGGATTAGCATTGAACTATTTCACTTCAAGTAGTCAACCTTTCTGGCATCAATTTAAATGAACTAGGGTCGACAAAATAGAGTGAGTGACATGAAGAATAGAACTGTAGTGGATATTGCACTTCAAGTAGTCAACCTTTCCTTTTTGCTTTCCTTTTTTTTTGCTTTCCATCCACGCCAACTCTCAGTTTAAAATGAATGCAAATATTAACATTCCATTAAATCACTTCAAATAGGTAACCTTTCTGGCATGAAGATGAAAAAAGGATAGGAATCGCCCAAAAAAACCGGCATATAAACTATAATATGAATTTCTTAAATCACCTTCTGAATTATTATGCATTGCAAGTCTCTAATTTCAAACTTTTCTTTATTAATAGTACAACCACAATACATACTGTTATTCATCAATTTTCATCATTCCAATATTAAGGTCTATACTAACTTACACGAGTTTGCTAGAGCAGCGAGTTCTATATCTGATTTCTGGCTTTGGATTGGATTCCTCTTTTTGTTACACACTTATACCTGTTTTGACTCATTATTTTATTAGTAATGGTTGATTGTGTTGCTTCCAAAAAACATTATACTAATGAAACAATTCTACCAAGACATATTTGAAATAGCATGAACTAGGACACTCATTGACCAAACAAATCATAACAATGTAATCACGAAACAATCATGGATGAGGATTGAAATAAAAAAAATAGTGCTATAAATAAAATCATCACGGTTTAGTACTCCTGATAGCAAAATATTGCAGTGTCAATTTTTTGGGAAACAGAGTCGGCCTCTTTCAGCCACTCACACGTAAAACAAAGATTCAATCCAATAATATGGCTTTGTAGTATACAATAAAATGCACGTAGTACAAGAGAAATTTTATATGGGGCTACATGCCTACATCACTCTACCTCAATTGCTAATGAGAAGCCTTTTTCCTTGTCTCAAATGAAAGTCTAACACATCTATGTATAGTATTCGATCTCTCAGAATAAGATTAGTTTTTTTCTAGAATCTTCCAAATACCTTTCTACATTCTACAAAGTACAATTTTCAAGAAGTCACCACAAGCTTCTTGATCTTTTTGAAGAATCTAATTGATCCACACTTATTTTAGAATATTCTAAACAACTCTATAAAATTTTACACTTTTTAGAGAGTCTTACATTTCATGTAGAGACTGGAACTTTTTAGAAGGTTCCACAACATTCTAACACTGCATATCTAGAAAATAATATATTACTCTAGATAACTTAACAAGTTCTGGATATAGTCTAGAGAACTCTACACATCTCTACATAATCTATATTTTCCTCATCTCACTCACAATTGAATTTCTACCATATGGCACATTGATTAAACAAATTTAAATGACATATTTAATCCCAAAAATAACATTCAGGGTTTCAAATATCTTTTTATTCATGAGAGTTAAAGTCCAAGCTAGTTTTTACTAATATAAACTATTTCAAATGGATAATCCTACACATGGATATATGTTTGAACTTATATCAATTTCACATTGATAAACAAGTTTTACAATATACTTTTTGAAAAGAAGTTTACACTATATTTGATATAAAAAAGGATGCATTAGATAGGGCTTAAATATCTTGTCAAAGTTTTACCCCTTTAAGTTATCATTATTCTAGTGAAATAAAACAAGTTATCATCGAAAGTTCTACCAAATGTCACATTTACTTAACAAAATTTTGTGACATACTTTTATCGTGTTAAGACTCGAGATTCTATCATAAAAGTTCACTCTTATAGGAGGAGTAGCCAAAGTCTTATATTGTGTTTTATTGTTTAATAGCTTTTCGGTGTTGGACAAATACTTTAACACGCCCTTCATCCCAAACCGGGCTAGACAATATTGATGTGTATAAATGGGCCAAAAAGGCTCTTATAAAACTACCCTTAATCATGATTGTTAAACAAGCAGTCAAACCATAACCAAACTTGGCTCTGATACCATGCTAAGATCCGAGCATCCATCATAAAAGACCAGTCTGATAAGAGGAGTAGTCAAAGTCTTCTATATTGTTTTATTTTTTTATAGTTGTCTGGTGCGAGACAAATAGTTCAACAGATCGAAAAATGCAAATCCCTCTCGCGGAACCATTGAAGGTCCCCCTCTGCGGCGGCGGCCGGTGAAGGTCGAATTCAAAGCAAACCCCTACCCTATGGCAACAACGATGCAAGGTCCGCTTTCTCCTCTAGCAGCAACTAACGATGTTGATTCTAAAGCTGGTTGAAAAGTGATGTGGCAAGGAAGAAAGCACATGGTAGCCAGATGCCCAGATCCCTACGAGGAACAAGAGGACGACAATGAAAGAAATAAAAGAAAAGAAATATAAAAAGAAAATAATTTCCATGTTGATTGCCACATGTGCAGTTAACCCGCAAACCGGTTTGTGACTTATAAAATAGTTGAATTAATCTTTTTCTTAAAGTTAGAGGATTTAATTGGTGTTTTTAAAGTACTAGGGTCTAATTGACTTTTTTGACATAGTGCGAGGATCTATTTGGCAGTTTTCCCTTCTATCAATTGTGCTTGTGATGAATACTCCAATTATCATTTCCAATTAAACTATATATGTGACTGTTTTCAGGGCTTTAGTGGCAGGTCTAATCTTTTCCAACTCTAGAAAAGAAAATAATTGGTATCTTAAGAAATTGCCCTAAACATGAATAAAAATGTTAGACAATAAATATTGATATGTTAATGTCTAAAGTAACTCTAAGATGACATAAATATTGACAATTGGCATATAAGTGCTATTTTTGAGAGAGAAATATAGAAGTCATATCTTGAAATTCCCAAACATTTTTACTCATATTTCAAGATTTTCCCATCTCTTTATTAAAGTGAGAAACCTCCCTATTTTTAATGTATTTTTCTCATGTAAGGATAAAATCCATAACAATATGATATCAGAGTGAACAACTGGTGTGAACGTTTAATTGTTCACTAACAACTATGGAGTATGATTTAGAGCTGGTAACACTGGAATTAGATGAATCGACTAATTCTGCTGAAATTTATTACGTTTTGACTGAATTGGATGGATTGACTGATTCTGTTGATTTATGAAAAAATTATATTTCAAATATGTTTTATTAATAAAATAAAGAAAGTTTATATGAAAATATAGTTAAATGGTCATCTACAGTAACTTCAGCCACTAACGTCAGAAAAGCATCTCAAATCTTACTTTTTTCTTATTATTACACAATTTAGCGCATGCGATATCAAAAGTTACGCGTTTGGTGAAAAATGCGTCTAACAAGCTTGATAAGAGAAAAAATAGGGTCATCAAATGCGCTATAAAAGAGTAACTTGAATACAGTTCCTTTAACTTTTGGACATTTTTAAATAGACAAACTTATTTCTTCTTTGAAAAACAAAAATGAATGATATAACCAAGTAGAATTGAAAATTTTCATTGTCATTTCCAAATTACTAATTCTACAATAATGAATTTTATAAAATGTATCCAAACGAATGAAATCAGTTAAAACACTTGGTCCAAAAGGTTAAATGCCCAACCCCAAGGCCCCCACCCCGACCCGACAGGATGGGGGATGTTAATCACATTGACTCAGTCAGCAAAGCGGCGGTAGGTCTTATACACGTGTGCACCAGAGATCCAGTCTTATTTCAGGTTATGTAACATCCACACGGACGCTACGTGTTTCGAACCTTGATCACTTGGTCCAATTTTCCCGTCACTCGACCAACTGAGCTACTCGTGCGGGTAAATCAGTTAAAACACAAAACTAGATAAAGAGTTTAAGCTAAAAGTGAGCTACATACCAGTTAAGGCACTAGACTTCCATTGGACCAAGTGACCAAGGTTCGAAACTCGCAGCGGCCTGAAATAAGGTTGGACCTCTGGTGCACACGTGTATAAGGCCTACCGCCGCTTTGCTGACTGAGTCACCGTGATTAGTCTCCCCACCATCATGTCGGATCAGGGTGAGGAGGCCTTGGAGTTGGGCATTCAACCTTTTGGACCAAGACACTATACTTTACTTCCAAAATGATCAAACGACGACCCCACCCATAAAGATGCATTCCGTACACCTTAAGGAACACAAATCAACTAGAGGCTTTAAGAATAAGAGATCGTGTTCTGTAACTAACTTAAGTTTCCGTACTCCATAAAGAAAAACAATCATGTTTTGTAACGTGATCAAATTATTTGTGTTTAGACAATGTTTTCATTTTGTGTAAAATGACTTGTACAAAAAACATATACAAAACCATTTTCCGAATAAAAAGCATCTATTTGGTCTCCTAACTTATGCAAATTATCAATTGTTACTTCTGTAAATCTGTATCAGGTGTTCGTCCTGATTGTCAAAATTGAAAATTAATAGACATTCGCACGAGTAGCTCAATTAGTTGAGTGGTGAAAAATTTAGAAGAATGATCAAAGATTGAAATGCACAACGACCATGTGAAGTTTACGACTCTTGCGTGTTGGGCTAGATTTTAGTGAGTCACCATGACTTAATTGAAACATCCCAGTCTTGTCGGGTCGAAGCATGAAAAGCCCTAGGGAAACGGGATTCAACCTTTTGGAAGAAAATTAAAAGACTGTCCAATAATTCTTACATACATGTTGGTAATAATTATTCTCATTATATCAATATAATACGGAGTATATATATAAGTGAGATAGTAGTATATGTTACACACGTGTCGATCGATATGTAGCGGTACACTATAAATATTTGTCACCGTTCTTCAACTAACTAACTAATCTACACGGTGGCGATAGAATCGCTAGGGTTGGCGACGCCCTTGGACCCCGTGGCTGCAGCAGCGGACGTGGCGGTAGCCCCCTTCCTCTTTGATGTGATGACCGAACACTTCTCTTTTCTCTCATCCCTTCTCATTTGCTGTTCTCTGCACTCTAGGCTGCAAAACCCAGTGTCTCCTCTGTTTGGCTCAAGTAAAATTGGTTAGTAGTCTTTCATTGGAATTAAAAAATAAGTAGTATTGCTTAATGACATAATTTAGGATATTTTTAATTGAATTTATATCAATTTCAGATCAGAGCATATCAAATCAAATTAAACTTCGACAATTATAAAATACACATAAATCAAACATCTATGAGACTGCATCATACCAATTCAGATCAGACTATAAAATGTTAATCAAAGTAAAAACATCATTAGACTACGATTCATTTCAATACAATCAGAACTTAATTAGTACTGGGGCTTTTATAGTCAAGTCTATCTTCAAAACTCGCATTCCTTGTTTTGATTATTACATTATTGAGTGTGCGAAATAAAAGATATACGGAGTACTTGTTTTTATGAAACAAATTGATCAATAAGGTTGATAAATTGAAATTATGTGTTACCAAAAGGCTTTCGAGGTAAAGTCATGGATTACTGCACACCTTTTAATTTAGAATCGTGATTCTTAATATAGTGAGGAGTCTATTAAACGCAATTTGATCATGCTAAGTTTAAATAAGAAAGTTCCGGATCTGAAGAGTCACACTCTTATGAAACGTGACATATACTTAAGTAACCCTTATAAAACTTAAGCAATAACGTTAACATCAATTATTAAGCAATAATGCGAGAAAGTCAAGATTCTTTTAGACGGTCACGATTGTAATCGAATATATTCGCAAGTCGGAACCAAGGAATATAAAACAAACGAAACATTTATTTCGATATTATTGATGGAGTATATATTAAGAGTAAAAGTTAAGTCGACAAACAAGACAAGAAATTAACAAAAAACCATTACAGTTAATTAATAAATTTCGACATCTACTTGCCCTTCCATAATTGTTCTCAACGGGCGTAGTTAGGGGTTTGACCCGGACCGAAACCCGAAATCTTGAAAAACTAAGGATCAAAACCTGAACCGGTTAATATCGGTCCAATCTAGACCGGGTCATTCTGGTCCGATTCAGGTCTAAAATATGGCCCGACCCGGCCTTCCATAATTGTTCTCAACGGGCGTAGTTAGGGGTTTGACCCGGACCGAAACCTGAAATCTTGAAAAACAGGATCAAAACCTGAACCGGTTAATATCGGTCCAATCTAGACCGGGTCATTCTGGTCCGATTCAGGTCTAAAATATGGCCCGACCCGGCTATGTGTAGTTGTGCCAATGAATTGAAGATCGAACACTAATCGTTTATTATGTTTGATTCTTTTTGTTTTTTTGAATATTATAGGAATCCCATCTACAACAACCAAACTCGAATATAATATGTGGATATTTGATTAATTCATTGACCCTACACACATGGGTGTGGATTACGAGCCAACCGTGCCTTGGTCCATCCCAAATCCCAATAATGATAAAAAAATGTGTTAGGGTAGGTTTGGGAGTTGAGTTTTAGAGGGGAGAGCTAGTTTACAAGAGTGTATGACCTTCCCTTTCATGTTTTGAAGTTAAAAAATATCGAGGAAATGGTTTTGTAACCATCCGAAATCGTTTGAATGCTCAATTTTCAAGTTCTCCAAATTGGTGAATTTTGAAGGAAACTAATTAAATGACAACTTTATCTCATTTTTAAATAAATATAAACTCAATTATTTGAATTCGTCATATATGTGAAGTTATATTAATTATAATTCATTTAAAACCTTGATCTTTTTAAACTTGAAAATCTCAAACAAGAAGAAGAGTTTCCCTTCCAACGACTAATCTTCAAAATGATGAATTATATTGTGTGGTAATTTAGAAAAAATATACTAATATTGCTCATGGAAAAATGATAAATAAAAATGTGACTTGATGACTTTTAGAGACTATATTTGTGTTCAATGTCACTATAATGTAGTCACTATATTATGTAAATTTAAATACAATTATAAGTTATTAAGTCACATTTTTGTTCCTGACTTTATTATTAGTAATATTTTAGGAATTTGTATAATTTATAGAGAGCAAATTTCATCAAGATATATAATTTTTTTATCTGAACCACTCTAATTTCCTCCTCATCGGTAAACATGAATCATTACTCATTAATAGTACTCAGTCCTCACTTCTCATACCCGGCTTAGAAAGTGTATGGATGTTATCATGCCTAATTAATTAAAAAAAAAGTACTCGTACTATTTTATTTTTTAATTTAAAACTATTTATTAAAAATAGTCTTTATATTTTCTACTATTTACTAATATTCCCGAATACATTCTCTTAGATTGTATGTCGCCGTTTTTGAATTTGCATGTCCATCTTTTAAAGTATGCGTAGGATGAGCACATTAATCCCAGTCGGTGACCCAACCTGAACAGTATATATACCGATTCAATCTTTCGTATAAAGTAAAACATAACCATATTTAGTAAACTGATTATTAGCTTATTTTATCCCCAACTATTATCAAATTCACAAATTTATCCTATTCTATCACTTTTATCATAAAAAACTCAAACTCCATCTTTTTTAACAATAATGATATTCTTCTTTGTTTTTCAAAATTACAAATTTTATCAATAACAATAAGACATAAGCAATACAAATTTGTAAAACTAGAAAGAAATGGAAAATATGAAATATAAATATGATTTTATCCTTAAGTTTTACTAATTCATCGATTGAAAGTGTAATTGTGAAAAATTGAAGTTTGAGTATTTTTTAATAAAAGTAAAAGTATGAGATAGATTTGTAAATTTGATGATAGTTGAAAATATATTTAGATAATAATCCAAATATTAACTACATATACAAAGTCATATATATAATTTATTCAACGTGTTTATTTTATTCAAGATCGTTGTTTTTAAATTTTCTATAAAAATTGAAATCCGGACAAATAACGTTTTGTCAGGATAAAAAATCGAATCAAATCAAGTAAACCGGACCGAAGCTGTATCATATTGTCATATTCAGGGGTGTTTGTAACTGATTCTGCTTCTGCTTCTGCTTCTTTTTTTAAAGCAAAATCATAATCAGAATCAGTTTTCAGAAGTTGATACCCCCAGCTTCTAAAAAAACTGATTCTAGGAGTAAATTAGAGCACCAGAATCACTTCTGCATTTTCACTCAAACACTTCAACTTCTGTTTCTACCCTTGAAGGAGTAGAAGCAATTTTAAGAATTAGATCCAAACACCCCCTCAATTCGATTTGCATTTGGTAGTAAATAAAACAAAACCAAAATTATGGAAAACCGGAAAAAAAACAGAACCGATCTAAAATATACAATTTTTGTGTCGTTTAAGATAGTGGGTATTGTGTCGTGAAGATTTGTGTTGATGAGAGGAAAATGTGTAAGAAATGTTGTAAACCACCAATTTTTAGGAACGGAGGGAGTACTATTTTTTTAAATATAAAAAATTCAAACCAACTAAACCATGGTATGCAGTATGATTTTTCTTTAGAAATCCTTCGTTTAATCCATTTCAAATCGAACCAAATTTAAAAACTGGGAAAAATCAAACCGTTAGCGGATTCCTATCTTGTCAAAATCCAGAATAATCTGGGCCGCGATCTAAGTAATCCCTTTTCGGTCCAACAATTTAAAAGTTCTAGTAGAGATAGATTCGGTTCCAATTCAATCCAATGAACGGCTCACCCTCAATCAATATCAAATTGTGTTTTTGCATTTGTTCCGATTCTTTAGTATATTTATATAATTCAAATAAAAAAATGAAAATGAGTTTGGAAGAACAATAAGAATATAAGATCAAATTTTTAAGATTAGGTTAAACCGATACGTACTTTATTATCCTTACTAAGGAGTATGTTCTAAATTTTCACTACTCAGTGTATTTTTCTTCCAAAATTCTACCTAGAAGGCACACGCTCCAAACGAAGCCTAAACGATAATTTCTCCAAAGAATCCAATGAGTTTTTCCAAAAATATTATTAAAATAAAATTTATTCAAACAAATATGACTAATAGTTATCACACGTATTGTTATGGTAACTTAAGTTTAAAAATTGAACATAAATTATTAAAAAGTTATTAAAATTTCACTACTACTCTAATCGGTAATCACATTTTTGTAAATAATCTTTACTTTAATCATATATCTCTAATATTCTTAAAAAACAATTCTATATATATCCAAAGCATATGCATGCATATAAATAATGCGAAACACATTTTAATACTCGTAATTTATTTAAATAACTTCATGGTTTTATTTTAAGTTGACAGTTTATAAAGATCATCTACAAACATGTTAGTAGTAAAGATAAAAAATGGGAAAATTCCAGAAATAGGACTAAAACAATTTCAAAATTTCAAAATAGGACTGTCATATTTTTTATTCCCAAAATAGGACTAATTACTGACATTTTTAGAAAAAAATACTGACATGTTTGAAGTTTGGTACTGCCAAAACATGCAGTAATTAGTCTTATTTTGGGAATAAAAACATGTAAGTCCTATTTTAGAATTTTCAAACTGTAGTAAAAATTTATTAAAAAATCTATCGAGAATGACCTAAATGACCTTGGCGTGACGGCTGTCCCCGTGGACAAAGAGAATGCTAGTCTGTTTATGAATATATACCTGTACATATATATATCACGTCCGGGATAGAGACGGCGTTTGCAAAGGGAACAAGCGGTAAGGAAATGAGCGGTTTCCGCGAAACCACCGGATTCTCGACGGCCTGGTACAAGATCCAAGGCGCTGAAGGCAGTGGGGTGGTTAGCGACCGCCGGCGGCGGAGGATCGACGGCGATTTGATCGGGGGGAAATTCCGTAATTGTGTTGGTTCTGGGCATCGCGGGCCTGGGCCTCTTCCCCAACTTCATTTCTAATTCCGGGCCTAAGCGGTTGAGGAAGAGAGGAGGTTTAAGAGCGAGAGAAAAGGGGGGAGGGTTGAGGGCGGAGGTGCAGGGTATTTAAAGGAAGAGGCGGAGTGGGATGGAGGGATCTGGACCGTTGGTTTTGGTTCTGATCAATTGGGAAATAATTAGAGTGAGAGAGACTTGAGTTTTCTCCAATTAGGGAATGCCATGCCATAATTTCATGATTTAATTTTCTTTTTGATTACTTAACTACTCCGTATATAAATTAGTCGGAATTCAAAAGGAAGTACGACGGTGCCACGCGTCTAGAAATCGCGAGAATGGAATCCTGCGTAACTCATACTCCCTCTTCATGCACAAAAGTTTAACTGAAAGTGAAACGACCATATTTTAGAGGAGTCTCTATTCCAATCCCTCCATTTCATTAGAGTATATAATAGACTTAAAAACAAGAATTGTTTGTGCACAGTGCCGGAGTTAGAAAAACGGCTCAGGGATCTAAACTCAACCTATATACAGAGCGAAAATGGTGAATCAATTTTAAACAACATTCGAATCGAATATTTCGTTTAGATAAATACACTCGTAGCAATACAGTAATAGAGTAATTATTATTTACTAGTTTCCTTGTCTTAGGATTCCTAATGTATTTAGTTTCCTAATATACTCTAAACACTTATTCATATATATACACATCCAGGGCTACCCTATTAGGTACGTCATTCCATTATTCTCACATGGTATCAAGAGCATTAGGTTTTAGACAAAATTTATTTTTTTTCGACATGTCTTCTTCTTCGGATACGGCCGCCGCCACCGAGCCTGGCTCCATCACCACCATCTCCACGACTGTGACCGACTCGCTAGGGCTGAGAGCCGTTCAAACGCAGTCCGTCTCTTCCGCGCAGGACAAGTTTGTCACGGCAATCCCCTCCTTGCCGCGCTCAACTGCGTATACACCGCCAACTTCGACATGGGTTCCACCCATCTTCTCTTGGACTCCGACGTCTCCGGTTCTGCAGCCCAGCCAACCCTTCGCGCCACAGGTTGACACTCACGGCGAATCCAGCACACTGCTGCCCCACATGCGCAATTCGTTGGACCAACACTCTCCGGGCATCCGGGTCTGCTGATGCCGCCTCCTGCCGGTCCCATTGAGCGCCGTCTATTAGCCACACCGATGCCGACCTCTTTCTCGGCTCTGGCGCAAGGTATTTCTTCTAGTGCGTGTATCACCCAAATTGTCACCACCAAATTATCGGTTGTTGAAGAGTATTTACCCTTGCGTTCTCAATTTGAGTCGTTCCTGGTCTCTAATGGTCTTTTGGGTATCCTTGATGGCTCCTTACCTGTGCCACAGTTATACACCTATGATTTGTATCAAGCCCAAACCATGAATCCTGAATATTATCATTGGTTAAAATTAGATCAGACTCTTCGTTCTTGGTTGTTTGCTACTCTCTCTCGTGATATTCTTGTTGAGGTACATCAATTAAAGAACTCTACAACCATATGGGAACATTTGGAGGCTCATTTTATGGTTGCCTGTCTGGCCGGATCCATGGAATTGAAACAAATGCTCACTCGCATGAAAAAGAAAGAACATCAGCCCATGGATCAATATCTCCTTGAAATCCGAAAAATTGTTGAATCTCTGGCCTCAATTAACTCTCCCATGTCTGATCATGATCTCTTGCAACATGCACTTTTGGGGCTTGGTTCGGGATACGAGTCACTTGTGGGGCCCTTAACTCTATTCCCGGAAGGTCTCACGTTTGATAAATTATGCACTAAATTCACCCATCAAGAAGCCCGACTTAATTATCAACAACGTTTAGAGACCACAATTGGCGCCCTGGCTTTTGCAGCACATGGCTAGTCACATGCTGCCACCGGTCAGCAGCAACCGCAGCAAGCTTCACAAGCTCAGCCGCAACAGTCTGCCCAGCGCGGAGGTCGTTGTCGCGGCAAGAAAATTGGTACTCATCAGCGCGAACAAGCCACAGTCACGTTGTAGCTATCACCATGTACGCTCGTAGGCTCTGCGCCCGTGTGCCCCTATGCGCCCAACACAGTCCAAAGATGAAAGACATCACGATGCTCACCCTATATGTGAACGCCTTCAACCTACTGAGCACCTGCAACAGATCGGGTACCCCTACACGAGCTCAACCTGGTGAGGTGGACGGAATGTCAAGCCTGGAAGTTTGGTTGCACGAACACGCCATGGCGAGACGGTTGCACGGTCGTCACCTGGATGTGTGGTCGTACAAGCTCAAACCGGCGACGTGAACATTTGGCCACCACCAAGAGGCTTCGTAGAACACCCGCAGCGGCAACCGGCAGATCGGGTACCCTTACACAAGCTCAACCTGGCGAGGTGGACGGAATGTCACGCCCGGAAGTTTGGTTGCACGAACCCCCCATGGCGAGACGGCCGCACGGTCGTCACCTAGATGCGTGGTCGTACAAGCCCAACCCGGCGACGTGAGAATTTGGCCACAACTAAGAGGCATCGAAGAATACCCGCAGTGGCAACCGGCAGATCGGGTACCAAACCGGCAGATCGGGAACCCCTTTACCCTGAGTGGCCGAGCATGATCAGTTGAAGAGGAAGATGCCACAGACCTTCTGACGGCCCAGGTGGTCGGCTGCGACTCACTGACGTGCATGAGAGAACACGGTTGTAATCTTGTCCGTCAGAGAGCTCGTACGTCGTGCACCTGTACGCCATGAGCTTGATCAGTTGAAGAGGAAGATGACACGGACCTTCTGACGGCCCAGGTGGTCGGCAGCGACTCACTGACGTGCATGAGAGACCACGGTTGTACTCTTGCCCGTCGGAGAGCTCTTACGTCGTGCACCCGTACGTCATGAGCATGATCAGTTGAAGAGGAAGATGACACAGACGTTATGACGGACCAGGTGGTTGGCGGCGACTCACTGACGTGCATGAGAGACCACGGTTGTACTCTTGCCCGTCGGAGAGCTCATACGTCGTGCACCCCTACGCCCCGAGCATGATCAGTTGAAGAGGAAGATGTCACATATCTCCTACGGCCCGGGTGGTCGGCTGCGACTCACTGACGTGCATGAGAGACCATAGGTTGTACTCTTGCCCGTCAAAGAGCTCGTACGCCGTGCAGCCGTACGCCAAGCTCGAAGATCAAGTGCCGAGTGCAGAACACCTTGCCAAATCCTATGAGCGGAGCACTGCAAGCTTGTTGATCAAGTACGGAGTGCATGGAACCTTGTCAAAATCTAGGAGTGGAGCATTGCAGGCTTGTAGATCAAGAACGGAGCATAGGGCACCTTGTCAAATTCTATGAGCGGAGCACTGCAAGCTCGCAGATCAAATGCCAAGCGCCAGGCACCTTTTCTAATCTTGTGAGCGGAGCACCGCAAAGCTCGTTGATCAAGTGTGGATTGCAGATCAGCTCTCTTACATTCTATGAGTCCATCATTACAAATTGTAAATCAAGTGTAGAACTCGAGGCAACTCCTCAAGTTCTCAAATTCTTTCATTACTTAAAAAAATATTTCATTTTCTAGTCTGGAATTTAATGAGGTCCGACCTCACTTAGAAATGAACGGGCGGCGGCAAAAAAATACTATGACGCCCCGCTTTCGGTGTTTAGACGACCATGGCTTGATCCTCGGGCAAGGAAATGATCAAACTATTTTCTAAGTATAGGATTAGCTGCTCAGTCAGGGTGAGTGTAAGACCGGCCTCCAGGTCGAAAAGGTATGCGGAAGGTTGTGCTCTGAGCCCCTCTCGTACATCCGTTGTCTGACGTTGCTAGGCTTAGCAGCCCGCATACGCGCTTGACAGGATCAACGGTGCGGGTCCGTTCTGGTCTTATCAGGCAGGGCCTTGCCCTTACGTTTGGCCGACTTCAGTTCGACTTTCAGAAAGGGAATAGTCAAAATATTTCCTAAGTATGAAACTAGTTGTACAAGTCAAGGTGTAAGACCGGCCTCCGGGTCGAAGGTGAGCTAGAGGTCGTGCCCCGAGCCCCTCTCATACATCTGTTGTCTGACCGATGGCCGAACGGCTTGCACACTTATGAGTCCCAGATCGATAGTGTGCGGGTCAGCCCCGCCTTACCAAGCAGAGCGCGGTCAAAGTTGGCCCTGCCAACCTTCTGCCCCTCACGGGCTGGGTGGGGAGCCAGATCCCCGATTAGTTCTCCAAGTATTCTTGAATGAAAAAGACTAAGTAAATTGAAAGAATGAACGATGCATACGAGCTCAAGCGATAAATCAATCACGGATAACAACTGCGAGATCATCATTGCCCATCTTCTCCGCCTCATCACGGCTTGTAACACCTCTAAATTTCCCGCCCAAAAACAATGATATATTTGAAAGAAATACTTTGTTCATTCATCAAAGAGTAAAGAAATACAGCGGAAGTCTAAAATAGGGAAATGGGTGTTACCGCCACATTCGGTCATCTCTTAACCGAATGCACAAGCAACTCAAAGTAAAATAACAAAAACTAATGTAATAATAAGTAAATGTTTATATCATGACTAGATTTAACTAAGGCATCTTCTAATTCGCACTCAAGCTCGAGCAATCCATCAATCCACATAGGCATCCAACTCACCACCTGATAAAATTTAAGGGAGAAGAGAGAGACAAGAGAAATAACAAAAATTAGCTTTAGAGCTAAGTAAGTACTACCCAACCCCGTAAAATAATCAGGTTTGACAAAAATAGATTTTTATATAATATCATATAAAAATGACGCACTCCACCAAAATACTTTTCTCTTTGATTTTTCTTAAAATCACTTCTTTGCTAAAATCTTAAACTTCTCTTGGAAAATCTCTTAGTAATTCTTCTCTTTAAACTTCTTAAGAAAATCACTTCTTCTCTAATTTTCTAGTAATTTAGAAGGGCAGTGCTCAACCTTTCGACTGAGCCCGGTGGACCGTGGTTACGGACGGTCACCCCGAACAAGTGCCGGTACCACAACTGCTCTTGCGGAAACGAAACGACTACCTTAAGTGTGCACACCCCCTAAAAGGGATTCCAAGCCCTCCGAGTAGTAAGTCATCCTGA